TGAAAAAGATACAAGATTCTTTTCAGAATTAAGGATCTTAGATACAGATATTAGTATCTTATTAAAAATGTCAAAATATACTGAGTACAAGATATAAAGGGATCTTGTATCGTGTATCTTAGATACAAGTATTCGCAGTACTGCCCAACTCTGTTTATTTCAATCTAATTGATTAAAGTCATTTTAAATATTTTTTTTAGATTTTAGACACAGCCATATTAAAAAATTATCTCAATGGATGCAAAATTAAAAAGAATTGATGAAAAGATTAAGACAAAAGAGTATGAAGTAAGGGAGAATCTTAATGGAAAATCTGATGTATGGAAGAAATTTTCATTTATATATGATGAAAATAAGGAAAAGCTTAATTATGTCATTTGTATTATATGCAAATTTATTTATGTATATATTCAATAACAACAGGTTAGATATTTATACATAAAATATGATCTTATTAATTATTTTAGGCACAAATCAACTTAAAAGACATAAATGTGTATATACAAATATAAGTACAACAGCAGAGAGTAAAAGACACAATTAACAATTGATAGTCTTTTTGGTACTGATCCGAAAAAACTCAAAAGTTGTACAAAATTGAAAAAAGAGTGCACAAAGGTGCTTACTATGTTTTGTGGACGTGATTTGAGATCATTTGATACAATTCATGGGGAAAACTTTGTTGATTGTTGCCACTTGCCAAAATTGGTTCAATATATGGAAATATTGATGTTAAAAGCATCATTCCAAATCCTACGACAATTTCTAGAAATTTAGTAGATACTGCTGATGGTATCCGCAATAAATTATTTCCTATATTAAACTCATATATGAAAAAGGGTCGATGTGCTGGTAACAAATTTATGTAAATATGGTTAAATTATTAATATTTTTTTATAGCCACCACAGACTTTTGGACGATGATTATAAAAAAATATCATATGTAACTCTAACAATTCATTTTATAAATGATTTCTGGAAACTAAATAAAATTGTATTGTTTACATGCAAATTCGAAGAGGAAAAAAAGACAGGGGAAAATAAAGGAAATTATTAGAAATTACCTTGTTAGGTATTGATTTCATTAAAAATATTTATAAAAATCCATGTATTCTTTGTATCAGGATACAGCAGGGCCTATTTATCGGAAATTCCCATTATTACCGACCAAGGAGCTAATATGATTAAAGCTTTTGAAAATCATAAGCGTTTTGTGCTTCTCATCTATTAAATACAGTATTGAGAAATACTTTTGATAACAAAAATATTGAATCTTGTTCGGAGATAAATCAATGTTTTAATGACTGTAAAAGTTTAGTAACGTATATGAAACAGAGTGGGTATGTTAAATTAACTTTTTATTAAAATATATCATTACATTTTAGATTAGTTAATCGCCTCGATAAAACTCTCCACATGTGTGTTGAGACTAGGTAGAATAGTAGGTTGAATATGATTGAATCGATCTTTAATAAATTTAATGACATATTGAGAATCCTCAATTCCAGAGGAGAGTCGATTAGACTTGAAAATATTGATTTTAAAATGATGAGGGATCTGATCAAGTTTCTGATGCCTTTTAAAATTGCGATTGATGAACTTGAGAGTGATTTAAAACCTACTATTCACAAAGTTATTTTATGTTATCATAAAATATTGAGTTTTTTTAGCTAATCCTAGCTTAAACTATCAGCTAAACCAGCTTTCATTAAGATGCCGGGAAATATTGGTGGATAAATTTAAAATAGATTTATTCCACCAAATTTCGACGTTTTTGTGCCCAAAATTTCGGGATATGAAAATGTTATTCCGGGAACATTATAAAGATTTGTGTCAACATATCAACACGTTGATTAATGCAGAGAAAATCAACAGAGATGTGATTGAGCAAAAGTCTATAAACAACTCACCATCTAACTCGTGCTCAACCGATAGAGTAGTAAATAAAGGTTTATTAAATTAATAATAAAATTATTTATTAAAAAATAATAAAATAAATATATATCTTAATATTATTAATGAATATTTTTTTCTTAAGAAACTACAGAGGTGGTAGATACATTTTGGACTTCTCTCTATGGGAGGCTGACAATGCGTATTTTGATGCTAGCGCCGAAGTTGACGAGCTAAAAAAATACCTAGATCCGAAATTATGTATTGATGACGATAATATTTTAAAATGGTGGAAAACAAACCATTGTGAGTTTCCAAATTTAAGTATTTTAGCTCTTAAATTCCTGGCTATCCCTGCTTCATCGGCTAGCAGTGAAAGGGCCTTTTCAGCTGCTGGTAGGGCCTTTAAGGAGAGAAGGACTCGTTTAAAGCCAGATAAACTGGACGCCTCTTTATTTATATATCATAATTATTCACTTTGTGATAATTTTGATAATGATATAGATGAGGTCAATATAATATAATATGTTCATTATATTTTTTATATATTTATTAACTTTTATATCATATCTATATTCGCATAAATGATGCTTATTGTATTACATAATCGTTATAATTTTTAAATTCGCTTGTATATTAATCGTTTTGTAATATTTTTTACAAATTTAATAAAATGCAACTTAATATATATCTTGAATAGATTATGGCCGTCAAATAAACTTTTATTTAAGGTGGCTGAACTGAATAAATACACATAAATTTTTTTTTGGTTATTATAATATTAAAACTTAAATTGCAAAATTTTATTAGGGTCGGGCTCGGGTCGGGTCGGGTCGGACTAAAAAATGTGTGCTCGGGCTCGGGCTCGGATAAAAATAATTTTAAATTCGGGCTCGGGTCGAGCTCGGGTTGCGAAAAAATTACTTTGCAGTTCTCTAGTTTTAATTAAAATTTAGTTAAGGTTATATTAGATAATCTGTGTGTCGGACGTTTCAATTAAGATTTAGTTAAATTTGTAATAAATAATCAGTCAGATATTGCTATTAAGAATTAGTTACGCATTGTATTGGATAATCCGTATGTTCGACGTTTCAATTAAAAAATAGTTAAGAGTTGTATTAGATAATTCGTTTGTCGGTCGTTTCTATTAAGATTTGGTTAAGTTTTGTATTCGATAATCCGTGTGTCGGAAGTTTTAATTAAGATTTGGTTAAGCATTGTATTCGATAACCCGTGTGTCGGACATTTCAATTAAAGAATTAGTTAAGCGTTGTATTCGATAATCCGTGTGTCAGACGTTCCAATAAGTTCGTAACAGTTGTATTAAAAATTAGCTAAGCCATGTGTTAGTTATTTCAATTAGAAAAATTTTAAGAGTTATATTTTAAGAATAAGCAATAAAATTGTGTGTACCTTATTAAATTATTAAACACCGTGAAAAACGTATGTATATGTGTATATTAGGATTGTTAACTATTGATAATAGTATATCTTTTAAACCTGCAGATAGTTAAGATTATCATTTTGGAAATGATAGTTAATTTTTTATAAGCAAAAATGAAGACATTAAAATTTGTAAAATATTGGGAAATACAATATAATATTTTTTGGGCGTTCGTAATATAGATATTTAGTTTAATTTGGGGAAGGAGAATGAGAAAGTATGGTAGTGTGAAAATAAAGGGGCAGACTTTGACCATTGAGAGACATAATGGGGAAGAAGATGTAATGGAAAAGGTAACGTGGTTACCGGTTCATGACTTAATTAAAGAGTGAAAGGATAGTGATATAAGTAAATATGTATATGGTTCTAATAGGCAAAATTATATAATCAAGCGTTGAGACCGTATAGAGAGCCAAGAGTCTCGTAGAAGGAGAATAGAAATAAGATCTTAATTTTGTAACAAAGATCAGCATATTTTACTTCGGTGTAAATATATTCAATTCTCCGATATTTTTTTTTCAGTGTAATTATATTTTTATATAATAAATTGTATTTTTACCTTTGATTAAGATTTGTAAATAGTAATTATTTTTATATTAAATAAAAAAAATGATGCGTCATATAATTGATTTCTAAAGTAACCTGTAATATGACTAGATAATTTTAAAATATAATATAATTGGTCAAGTCCAAAAAATAATTAGTAACTGTAAGTAATTACCTTTTCATGAATGTAATTAGTAACTGTAACTAGTTAAGTTATAAAAGTAGCTTTAACACTAATAACGAATAATCCGTTTTGGGTATAGTCACCGGTGGGGGCAAGAGGTAGATATATTATCTAATATTTTCTCATCAATGTAATTAATGGTTATTACGATAACAATAAGTTTATTAAGGTCCACATGTTATGGCTAATTTATTTGTAATTTATAAATGACTCAAAGGTTGAAGGCAAAATTGTCTAAAATTCATAAAACAGGTGTTTAATACATACTGGATTACATTTCCGGTAAAATCTGATTTTTAAATTTAAAAAATCGAGCTTAAAAATGATATAGGCTGTATTTATAGTAAACGCGTTAGGTTATTACAAAATCAAGCCAATAATTAGGAATAATTTATAAATAGCGTGGAAAAAATTTGAAGAACATATGTTGCGATGAGTTGATAAAAAATATGCTATACGATGATAAAAATATTAGCTAATTCGATATGATTTTTCTTAATTATCATTATCTATTAATTATAGCTTTGAACGCCTTGTTTTCGATAGTGTTAAAGGTGGTCCTCAAAGATAACGAGTTTATTATAAATGCAGCGCTAATTTGAAGAGAAAAAAAAATTCATTTCTATTATTGTTAATAATCTATGATGGTTATCAATGCCGTTTAAAGTAGTTATACCGCTAATTTTATTTTTTAAAAAAATCATCTAATTAATATATCCTGTGTAGTTGTTCTATGTAACCTGTAATTATGTCCAATCCGCCCTGTTTTTTTTAACTTGAAAAATTCGATATTTTACGAAGTTTGAATTATTTTTTTTAAAAAAAGGGAGATTAGTTTTACTGTATATAAAGTCTAATATCAAGATGTCTCGTTAATATTTACATATTTTATATAAAAATTTTACAAAATCATGACATGTGTGTGCCCCCGATCTCCCTATAACACATTATATAATTCTAAAATATATATATCATAATTTAGACAAATCTATCACAATTAAGTATAATTTGTAAAAAAATAAATAAATGAAGAGTAGAGCAGGCACACGAACGAACCTCCCCATATAAATGTTTTCACGATTTTTTCCTCGTAATAAAAGTTGGTTTAAATTTTCCCGTCTAAAAATATATATAAAAATAAGGTTATTAATTTTTGTTTTAAAAAAATCGAATTTTTTTTTGACATATTGTTATTTAGAGGTAGTGTTGTTAAAAAGCCCGATTTGGGTCGATCATTCAAAACGGCCCAACAAAGATTTTGGCTAAAATAATATTACGCAAGCATCGAAATTTGGCAAATAGATTTCCAAGCATTTCTGCCAGCTATGAGCAAAATCTTTAGGCTTACATAATGTTATTTTGGTTTATAATCTTAAACGGGCTGTTTAACAACACTATTTAGAGGTGTCACCGAATCAATTTTTTTCCAGTTATGGATAGGATCCAAATTTTTTTTATTTACTGTCCAAGTCTGGCACGAGAACTTAGAATTTTTTTATTTATTTATTAACACTCTTTATGAGTAGAATGCAAGCTTAATTAAAATAAAAAAAATTTTTTTTTAATTTATTAACAATATTTCCAACAAATAGAATTAATAATCATTGATTGACAAGTATACAATAAAATTTTACTTTATCCAAAAAAAAATCATTTTTTCTTGAGTTGTAACTTTGTTTAATCTCGCCATTATATTTTTAAAATAAAAGAATATTAATATATTTTAAAAAAATTTATATATTTATGATTTATAAAGCTTCATTTTTTAAAAAAAAAATAACTACGCTAATATATTTGAAAAAAAAAACCGATCAAAAACCGGACATTTTAATTGAACCGATCAAATCTAAATAGAAAAAATCTGGGTCCGGGCCGGTATTCTAATTGTTATTATTTAAAATGGAACGTAAGTTTGAAAAAAATAATAGTAAATATAAATAAACTTCATTTTTATAGTTCTGGTTTGTGGATGAGTTGGCGGTATTCCTGAATCTCCTATTTTTATTATTGTTATAACTATCCACGCCCAAATTGAAATCGTCGCCATCGTTGTCAAAGGCATCCTCTCTAAGATTAGAATCTTCGGGCGCCCACAGGAAAAAGCCACATTGAAGTTCTCTGTTTTTGTTGCAGGTGTAAAATATTTTACCCTTATTGGGTCCGTCCTTCATGACAGTCCTCATGATGGCCTCGTTATTGCAACTACACATCACGATTTTTTGATTGTCAGATGCTGAGTCGGGGTGATTTTTGGTAAGGGTGGAAGGAGAAGAAACTTAATTTTTATTAAAAGTGAAATGAAAAGGGGGAAATTAGTTTAAAAAGTTTAAACTATAGGTATATATATATATAATAAACTTAAGAAAGGTAGCTTATTCTTTCTTTCTCTCTCTTTCTTATTTCATTTTTTCTTAAAAACTTGAACGTGCGAGGATGAAAACTAATGATATTCTCCCTATTAATAGCGAGTTGAAAGATTTTAAGGATAATAAATTATTATAATTTCTTCTTTAACATACTGACATAAGAATAATAATATTCTTTTTTATATGTTACTGTCAAAATTCTCTTGGAAGGATGAAAACATATTGGAAAACGAACGGCTGCCACTACTTCCTTCACTGGGTCTATTCATTTTGACATAATCCGAAACATGTCCTGAACTATTCACCTGCTCAAAATTAGAACTTGAAGGTCTCCCATTATCGTTTGTAACACCATCCGCCCACTGAAAAAAAGAACATTGTGATGCCATATCGCGAGCAGAGCACTTATAAAACTGTCGGCATATGTTCGCGCCTTTTTTGGTGGTCAGTAGTAAGGCCTGGTTGCCGCATTTGCACAAAATATCACTTCCAGCGGAAGGGTTTTGCTTAGATTTGTAATTATCTTGTAAAGTGTTGAGCTTATTATTGGTGCTGAGGGGCATATGGGAGAAAGAGTAGGCATTACTGGCTCGTTGAATGCCCATGGATCCATCGGTGTAATTCTGATTCACGGCATTACCTTTGTGCGAACCGCCTTTCGAGCTCGAAGAATGATCTACCTTGTTATTATTACTACGATCGTTAAATCCGTTCAAATTACCGGAATGAGTAGGCCTTTCTTCCGTCAATAAATATTCGATCTCATCGTCCCATAGTTCATCCCCGTTCTGCATCATAGCAGCCTCAAAATCGTCGTGTTGGTCACCAAATTCTTCGTTCTCGAAATCGTGAAATAAATCACCTTGATGACGAGAAGGAATGTTGTCCTTGTAGACGCTCTCAACGGGTTTACTTTTATTAACGTGGTTGAATTTCAAATCCAGAAAATCGGAAAGTGTAGTGTCGCAACCGCCGATACAAGTGGTGTAATTACGGGGCAAAAAGGCGGGTATGTGTTTGGGGTCAAAAGTGAAGCAGACGAGTTTGAATTTATTTTCTTGTGTTTCATATTTTATAAATTTAAAAAAATTAATTTTATATAAAATATAATACCCTTAAATTGATATCCATCTTTTAAAATTTGGTCATTCAATGGCTCGGCTCAGGTTTAAAGGCTTAACCCCTACATGGACCTTAAATCGGGTTAAACCTGAGTGTTTCTTATATATGATTGATCTTTTCAAAAACGAATACGAATTAGAAAAATATAATTATTTTATTTGACCTTTTATATTTTAATTAAAAATGAATATATTTTTTAAAATAAATATAAATAAAAATTTGATAATAAATTAAAAAAATATGTTTTAAAAAAAAACGTGAGAAAGTGCTTCTAGGTAATCGCACCAGAGATTGATATACTAAGTGACCTAAATATTTCCAATGTAATTCGTTGACGTAGGTAAAAACCTTCCCGAGAATCACCCGAAATTAATCGCATCTTTTGGTCTAATGTTTTTAAGAAATCCCGGGCTCTGGATAGAAACAACGGAGATTAAGGTGATATTAGGAATGATAATATATTTATTAATTTTTCTGATTTCCGCTCTAACCAAAGAAATGGAGCCTAAAGGATGGTATAAACCGATCAATGCGTGTATAATCCCAGGCTAACGGGGTTCCGTTGCTCCATGGAATGAGTGTTATTCCGTCTGGCCTGATGTTGTCCGCGAAATTAAATCCAATGGGTGATGAATTATTGGCTGAGGGGAGAGTTCTAGTAATAATCGAATTTACTGCTTTGTGGCATTGGTGGCGGCCTTTTGAGAAGCTGCAATGAAGAGGATGATGGCCTATGCTGTCGACAAGAAGCTGACATTTGCAAGATAGAAGGCCTTTTCCTATCCGAAATTCTTCATTGAAAAGAAGCAAACCAAGGTTAAAGTTAGGGATAGCCTCGGGTCATTCATAGTCTCAGTTGAAATGTTGAAGGAAAATCACTATTTTGATTTATTGGGGAGGTGATATCTAGGTTAAAGATCTAGAGAAAGCTCCAAAACAGTGTTCGAATAAAAGAATTCAACGGAATGCTGGATTAAAGGTCCCAATCTTGTTGTCTGGAGGATAAAGGTAAGAAAGCATTTTGGGCGTTTGACTTCCATAGGTCTAGGGCCAACTCAAGATGGGGATCTGTAAAGGTGTTAATGTTGATAATTATTCTTATTCCATTCTTTTGAACGAATTGAATAATTTACTATTCGTAATTATACCAATCGAATAAGAATAGTATATTTAATTTCTTACTTCTTTATTATTAGATTCGTATTCGCTCTTGAATAGTTATAGTATTGGTATCCTTAGAGATTAAATTATTAACAGTTTATTGTCCCGATAATTTTTAAAATTCGGTGACTTTACCGACTCGTTTTAGAAATTATACAAGTTTGCATATCCGGACCTTTGGTGGGGGATCTGAGTTTATTGCTTTAAAAAATCTAAAAATTTACTGGGTAGACAGGTATCACAATAACCGGAATCATCTGGAACGTTGATATCCAGAATCGAACGCTTGGGAAACCAAAGACACGCCTTGCAATCGGGATAATTCGAACAGGATAAGAGGAACCTTTCGTCGTGGCGGGTCTCTTGGTCTATTTGAGTCGTCATTCCGTCTTTTGATTTGGGTTGAACTTTTTTGATATACATGTCAGAGTTACAAGCGGGACATGGCCTAATAATACTATTGGGCGTGAAGGAGGGGATACTCATATTCTTTAATTAGTTATGTCACATATAAAAAAAATTGTCAAATTAAAATGTGTTGTTAATTTTTCGACAAAGATTTGTGATAATTAAAACAGTAAAACACGACTTAAATGGTCGCTCATACAGGTAAAGCTCGGTCATAAGTATTCGACGTGTAAAATGATGATAACATAAAAAATTCTAATAACTAGAACTATATGATAGTTCGCGAACCTAAGAGAAGTTAGTATTTTAATTTAACGAATTAGTAATGAAATAATAAAATTTAATTCAAGAAAAAAAATACTTCTGTATGCGTATAATTTTGATCTAGAGTCGTTGGCGTTCCAAAGTAATTGGCTAAAGCTTGGTCCATCATATTGACTTTCGTTTGAACTTCTTGAAATATCTAAACACAAAATTTTATTATATAGAGTAAAAATTGGTGCAAATAGATAAAGTTAAAACAAGTAAGTTTAATTGCTGTTAACATTTCCATGCCCCCCTCCCCTCTCGCCGAAAATAAAAAATTGAAAATATAAACTCCCCTTTTTATAATTTTCTAAATGATGCTTGAGAACGGCATCCTTCTCCTTGGTCCCTTCGCATATGGCCTTAAGATCTCTCTCTAGTTCCGATCTAAGCTGAGGCTTAGCCAGGGGGTAACCAGTGGCGTTATAACCTTCTACCAGACCCATACCCAATTTGCTAGGCAGGAATCCCATGATACTATTGTTCGAGTTTCTAATTTGATTATAATTAAAGATGAGTTAGTGTTTGATCAACTTAAAAAAATTTGAGAATTTTTAGTTTTTTTTAAATTAATTAGAAAAAAAAGGCAGTTAAACATTTTACCTGAAAAAATTATATTTTTAAAAAAAAACTATTATACTGTTTGCCAAGGATTTCTCAAATAAATTTGGTTCAATCGTGAATAATATGTTAACGCAAATATCATCATAAGTAAATAAAAATTGATAATCATAACACCCCTGCCTCCTCTTATTCACCGCCACCTCCCCATGATAAAATAGGTAATATTAGCAATTTTTAAAAAATAATTATACTATAAATAAAATTTCCCCACTAAAAAATTGTTATTCATATTTTTCAATCCCATTATCAGAGCTATTGTGGAAATCTTTTTCTAGTCGTATCAATTAGCCCTAAATATTAATCATGAAATGGCGAACAAGGTAAAATCAACGGCAAAAATAGTGAGATAGGTCGTGGAAGTAAAATTTGATTTAAATCGCGAATTTAATCAAGTAAAATTTTTTGAAACATTTCTATGTAATTTACGCTTTTTTGGGCCCCCTTTTTCTCTTGCTATTAGAACTGTTATCACTTGGAATTTCGCCCGCTTCCTCTTCGCCGGCCACATTGTCTTCGCCTTGATCATAACCGTCCGTTCTAGAAATGTCGTATTGATTTCCGCCTATAAAAAGATGTTGGATTAAATTAAAGGTTTTTCAGGTTTGTTCCTCCCCTCTTTCAAACTTTTAACGCGTGCTCAATAAAATTATTTTATTTTATAACTAGGGGATGTTAATAATAAGAGTTCTATCAAATACTTTTTGATTAAAATCATCGTTTAAAAAAAAAATCTTCAGAACATTTCCCGAGATTTGACGTGATAATTGTTATAAAATTCAATATTAATAAAAAAATAAACAATCCTAAAATGTTTGCTGTGTCATTTAAAAAATATTATTCGAAGAATTAAGACCTCGCTAAGTTTTAAAATATTTTTAAAAATGTTTTTTTTAATTTTCATTCATATATATTTTTTTTAGATAACGATCATATATAATCAGTTTTTTTAGAACATAAATAAAATGCACCTTGACGGAAGTAGGAGGATCAAAACCTAGAAGAAGGTCCAAGATGGTGGTGGATAAAGGTGATAGCGACGGATATGAGAAAAATGAATCCTACAAATATTTATGCTCAGGATAGACAAAATGGAAAAGAAAAATCAGAGGGGAAACCGGTAAACCCGGAAATCGTCATTATACGGAGAAGAAGAAGAAATAAATATTTTAATTTCGAAAAAAATATCCATTTTTAAAAAAATTAATACTTAAAGGAACGCAACCAACGTAACTCCTATTTTTGATGGTTTCTATATGTTCCGCGTGGGTGGCATCGGTTCCTATGCCGTGTTTTTCCATCAAGGTGATTAGGTCCGATTCCGTTAACAATGGCGGAGGCTTAGTCTTGCTCTCTTTCATCTCCAGTGTTTTAGGAAAGAATGTGTCGCCGATATTTAGGTATGGAATATTCTTTGCGTATGAGATAAAAAAAATGAAATCGCGTATAAATAATGTATTTTTTTTTGTAAAAAGAATCTAACAGTGATGAAGGGGGATGTTTTTATGACGCAACTTCAATTGAAGAGTCATCATCGAAGTTTGTAATCAGAAATTGGAACTCCCACAAGAGGGTCATATCTTAGAACCGGAATTATTTTAAAAAAATTCTAGGAACTGAAACTAAAACTTCATTTTATAAGTCAAGATTTTAATCTCTGGTTTCGGTTTAAAGCAGTCAGAAATGTTATTATTTTCCTTATCAGGAAATAAATATAGAGGAAATGGGATGGAGGAGGGGGTAAATACTTTATCATTCCAAGACTCGTAAGGGAAATAAACGTCCAAATAATTTCTTTCGAGTATCATGAGCCCTTTGGTCGTAAAAGTTTCGGCGTCGTTTATCACACATTCTATTATGGTTTCGTGGGCTTGGGCGTCTTTGCTGCAACAAGCTAAAAAGTGGCGGGTTACGAGTTCGTAAATTTGGGCTTCCTTACCTTATACGAAAGATAAAGAAAATTAAAATAAAATTTTTTGCGTTTTGTTAATCCTCAACAACTTTCTTTACAAATTGTATTAATTATAGTGCTGTAAACGTTACTACAAAAAAGAAACGCGTTACCGATACTCGTTACATCTGAAAAAATAGAACGCGTTACCGTTACTCGTTACCGCTTTACAAAAGGAACGCGCGACCGACTTTTCAAAAAAGTAACGGGCTACTCGTTACTTAAAAGATTAAATGTTATATATAATGCAAAAAAATAAAAAAATAATAATTTTTTTCCGACAATATATAGTAAAATAAAACTATTCAAAAAGAACATATAAGATAAGATCTTTTTATAATAAAATTTTCATATATAATTATAATATGAATAAAATTATACAAAAATAATATATTATAAGATAACATCTTTATGTAACAATTTTTTATTTATTTTTAACAACAATTGATTTTCAAAATTTTGATCAGATAAACATGAGCACTTAGTACTCAACACAGCTTTTGCCGTGCTAAACACACGTTCAATTGGCGCAGAGGATGGGAGAGTGGTGTTATATTTAATAAACAAAAATTTCAATTCGGGGAATTTATTAAAAATATTTAAGGAAATATCTTTATTTTGAAAAAAGCTTGAAAGATCATCTTCACAGAGATCTTCATTCATTTCCTGATCAAAAAAAAATTTATCATTATCTGAAAATATTCTAGTGTGTGTTGGATAAATGAATCAATATTAATTCATTCTTTACCTTCAAATGTTTTTTTAAGTTTGCTACTTGACATTGACGTTGAAATATTTGCGTTGGGACATAATTTACATTTACAAAGTGTAGACTTGGTACCATTAATTTTCTTAATTGGTTTAAAATATAATTAAAATTAAGGCCAGGGAAGGATTAAATCTTCTTCATCTGAAAAAGTAAGTACTATGGACATAATATTCTTTTAAAACAAATTATAAATTATTTAATAATATCATTATATTTACTTTGAATTTTGTTTGAATATTAATTTCGACCAGAGTTGTTAAAGTAGCGCGCTATCCTTTTTGGTAGCTATAGCTAATAGCCGCTACTTTTTTAAAAAATATAATGAATGTAAGTATAAACATGAAAATTTAAATATAATATCATAATTAATTATAATTTTATAATTTATTATTTAATTTTGAAATTTAAATTTATTTTCAATTTTTAATTTATATTTTCAATCTGTGTTAATAATCTAAAATGGCATCGCCCATGGATATCCAAATCCTTGAAAGTGATTCAGACATGGAAGATTCAATGGAAGAAAATGTACTTAATAGCTCTAATAACGATTTCCCATTCCCTAGATTTGAAAAATTTTTTAAAATAAATATTAAAACAAAATCTGGATTTAAATTCCTGTGCTTAAAATGTAAAAAAAATATATCATCAAATCAATCGAGTAGCTATAATATGAAGAAACACCTAAAGGTAAATTGTTATTTTTACATTATAATATTATTTATTTTATTAGACTGTTCACGCCAATTGCTATAAGGAAATAGAGAAACATATAAAAAATTTTGGCATAAGAGAATCTTCATTCAAAAAGACAAATACTATCCAAACCAAATTAACTGATAATAAACATGCCAATATTTCACAAAAATTGGCTGATAAAGTAATTGTTGATTTTATTATTGACACAGTTCAGCCATTGTCCTTGGTTGATAATCCATCATTTACTATGATGATTAAAACTTTATCCCCTGGCACAACAGTTTTATGTCGCCAGACACTTATGAATAAAATAGCCGACAACTTCAAAGTGATGAAAGATGCTCTAATAGTAGAGTTATCAGATATATCTTATGTATGTATACCGGCAGATAGTTGGACACATAACAGAAGGTAAAAACTTATTTATATTTATAAATTGATCTGATTAAATATTTTTAGAGCTTCCTTGCCCTCAAGTGCTAGTGTCGAGAGATTATTTAGTAAAGCAAAGCTTATACTTTCTGATCGTCGCTCTAGACTTGGGGATGATAATATTGAAATGATATTATTATTAAAATGCAACAAATTTAAATAAATATTTATTTATATTGCTTATTTTTTTATAATCTAAACTAACTATATTTTTATATTTATAAATGTTGATTTTTATATAATATTTATTATACATTTAATTATAAGCAAAAAAAAATAAAAAAAATTTGTTTCATTTGTTTCTAAAATTTTTTTTATAAAAAGTAGCTTAAAAGTAGCTAATAGAGCGCTACTTTTTTTGACAAATAGCGAAAGCGGTAGCGCGTTACTTTTTTTGACAAATAGCTATAGCGGTAGCGCGCTACTTTTAAAAATAGCGTTTAACAACTCTGATTTCGACTGATAATTTAAAAAAGAGAATTTTAAAAAAAATGTTGGAAGTGGTTGATATGAATTAAAACTCGACTTAAATTATTAATATTAAGAATTAAAAAATAAATAAAAGTAATTTTATAATACAATAAAATATGTTTTTCTTTTTATTGATATTTTTTAAGAAAAAATATAAAGTATCGAGTAAAGTAACGTTTTGCGTTATCTTTACTAAAAAAAATAAACGCGTTACAGTTACTCGTTACCTTTAGATAAAGTAACGTCGTTAGTAACGACTTTACTTTTTTGACGTTACTTCACAGCACTAATTAATTATATAGTCAATCTAAGCTTAATAAATAAAAATTAATGTAATACCTTCCAAAGAATTGGAATATTTGATGGGATGAATGGGAGGGTGGGCCTTGTCTGTTTTGATCCCATTTCTGGGCATAGGATAATTGTCACCTATATCGTTTAATAAGCGACTAGCGAAATCTCCCCATCTAGCATCATTGACTTGAGCTTGGATCTAAATATACATATGCACATATTTTAAAAAAAATCATTTTGTGTAAAGATTGCTCCCGTGATTTTAAAGCGTGATATATTAAATAGATCCACTCTTGAGGTTTATTTGATATTTTAGCACCCTCCCCCCAACCCCATCAAATGGGCTATCTGAAATAGAAGCCAGTTCTCTTTCATCTATTCCTAATGACTTAGCCAGATTTTAATACGCCACTATGGAGGGACTTATTAAACTATCTAAATTAATTATGACAACCATAATGCCATCGAGTGGTAATCTTTCCGAAGCCTAGATCCCTTCGTAGATCGTAACAAATAATATTATTGCATAATATAATATTACCAAAGGCTTGAGGGACAATTCTTTAGGGAAAATATTAGTCTCCGTTCTCGGGTAACTTATGAAACCTTTTTGATAGAGCTTTTCCGCGATCGTCATCGTCTCTTTAGCGCCGATCCTCAATTTTCGAGACGCCAACTTCTCTGTTTTAAGTGGGAAAAAAAAGTAATAAAAAATAAAATTAAACGAATATTTAAATAAATAGAAATTGCCTGATTTATAGTATTCCAATTTACTAAATATAAAATAAATTGACTACCCAATGCTATCGTGTCCATGGCTACGGGCCTCCATTTAGACTTGGGTTTGCTTTTAATGTCGGTTACTTTGGCCAAAGAATTTTCCATACATATACTGTACATCGCCTAAAATATTTTATAAAATAAAAATTTTAAAACGTGGTTTGTTAGTCATGATAATTATACGCAATATTTTCTTTTTAAATGGCAATTTTGGAAACTTAATAGGGCTAAATTTAAGAGACCTAACCTGTCCCTTATAAAATCTCCTAGTATCGGATGGATCTGGTTCTAAAAACAAAGTTTAAACCTCCATTTGTCATTCATTTCATAAGGATAAATCTAGCATTTATTTACATTTCAAAAAAACAAACTCTAGGAACTTAATCCGATCTACGAATGGGAACAAAACATTTATTCTTCATTTCTAGGATCCTGAATTTTTTTTATTTAAGACCAAGTTTCATATTCCATTTAATAGTTTGATTTCCTTTCTTTATTTCTTTCTTGCTTTCTTTCCTTCCTTCCTTCCTTCTTTCCTTCCATCCTTCCTTCTTTCTATCTTTCTTTCTTTCTTTCTTACTTACTTTCTTTCCTTCCTTCCTTTCTTTCTTTCTTTCTTTCTTTCTTTCTTTCTTTCCTTCCTTTCTTTCTTTCTTTCCTTCTTTCTTTCTTTCTTTCTTTCTTTCTTTCTTTCTTTCTTTCTTTCTTTCTTTCTTTCTTTCTTTCTTTCTTTCTTTCTTTCTTTCTTTCTTTCTTTATGTATGACAGACTAAAAATTTTAACATTTTACATTAAAACAACCGACCGAGCAGAAAATCATATTTGAACTTATGTGTCATATAATTTTTTTTCATTATAATAAATAATATCTAAGGAAGTAAAACTGTTTTTTAACGCAAGTGGAAAAAAACAAAACACAGGCTTTAATATAGTATTCCGTATATACTCAGAAGCTAACAACTGCTGTGGGATAGCAGGTATCAAAGATATATTAAATCTATATAAATTAAACAGAAGATTACTATTATGACTAAATTAATTAATAAATGCTTACTATGAAAAGAACCTATAATAACATGACATAAATATAATTTAATTAACTTAATTTTATTAATTAACTTTTATTACCTTTCACTTGATAGAATCACCGTACAATTAATCGGAACTCATCCTTTCTATAATTAATTTATTACACTCTATCTAAATCAAAACAAATCTCCTTTCTAATATTATTTAGCACGCTAGATTTAAATCAAACAATTCTCTGTGTTTTATTTTAATTTTGGCCAACTATATATATACATTTTTGATATTCAAAACAAATAATATTATCTTTAGTTTAAAGTTCATTTACAATAATATTTTCCATAAAATAACATTCAAATTTATAAAATTAAATAAATATTTCATTTGAATACAACACCTCCCTCTTTGAGATCTAACTGGCCCCCGTATTATTCGACGATTCTACCCTCTCTCGCACTGGTAAAATGGGATTACTATTCGATGTCATCTCTACACTTGGGCAATATCTTAACTTGTGTCCTCCCCCACAGGCCCAACATTCCAGCCTTCTCCTTATTCCATACGGTTCTATCCTACGCTCGAATCTTGGCATTCTAGGCACCTCTTGTAACCATTCCCCATATCTTTGCTGTGCCTCCGTTCTTGTTGCCTCTATCCATCTGTTGGACTCCGCCGATCTGTCCACTTCTCTGATCTCCATCTTTATAATCTTATTCCCAACTCGGAAGTATGATGCCATCTAAATAAATTACTTTATAAACCTATATATATTCCTCTAACTCCTAATTATCTATACTTCCTTGTATTTTCTCATAAATTATGAATCTCATAATTAGGTCTATACCATTTTATTTCATCCCAATTTATGATTCCCTCAATTAAGTCTAACATCAATTTATTCCTTTATAAATTATGATTCTCATCAATATGTTTATCATCAATTTCCTTTCTTTCGAAACTATGATTCTCATAACAGGTCTATCATCAATTTATTTCTTCTAATTATTCGCATATTTCTCATTTCTCTAAGCTTCTAAGTCTTACTTGCTTCAGGTGCCTTGTAAAGGTTCCTTCTTGTCCTTCAATTTCTACCTGGAATGTTGGGCCTGTGGGGGAGGACACAAGTTAAGATATTGCCCAAGTGTAGAGATTACATCGAATAGTAATCCCATTTTACCAGTGCGAGAGAGGGTAGAATCGTCGAATAATACGGGGGCCAGTTAGATCTCAAAGAGGGAGGTGTTGTATTCAAATGAAATATTTATTTAATTTTATAAATTTGAATGTTATTTTATGGAAAATATTATTGTAAATGAACTTTAAACTAAAGATAATATTATTTGTTTTGAATATTAAAAATGTATATATATAGTTGGCCAAAATTAAAATAAATATTTCATTTGAATACAACAAATATCATTTAATGAAATACTGGAATATTATATTTGTATTAAAATTAAATTTTCCGTCCCTGATTAATAATTTTTTAATCCCAGATCAAAATCAATTTTTTTTAAACTTTTAGTTTAAAATTACAAAGGTTACTCAACTAAGCAAGCACTGTGGTCGAACACCTTGACCCTTTTCCACAAAAATTCGATTTCTTTGTTGTTGTCGGGGTTCAAGTAAGTCATACTTATCTTCCAAAATGGTTCCGATATGAAGTTCTCAGCCTCCTTGTACCTCTCTACAACCAAACCCAGGGTGGGAAATTGACAGCTTCCGTAACTCATTAAACTTTCTTTCAGGTCATGAGGGAACACTTTTTGAAACCTCAAAGTTTGAAAACGCGTGAAGGCTGCGCCTGTTATCATGATAAAATATAGAAAAGATACCCTTTGGTAAAAAGCAGGGTTTATAACAAAAATCTTAAAATGAGCATTTGAAGATTGTTTTAACCCAAAATTTTGGGCAAAAATCTGTGAAGATCAAAAAAATTAAAGATCTTTCGTAAAAAAAAAATCTTCAAATTTTTTGATCTTCAAAAGAGCAAGGATCATTGAAGATTTTTGAATTTTGAGCAAATGTTAAACCCTGGTAAAAAGTTATATTATATATATTAGTCCCAGTTACAACTCGCTTACCAGGTTAATCTTAAAAGTGCGCATAAATTGAGAGTTTACGATTTGCCGCGCACTTTTTTAATTAAAAAAACGTAACGCAATCAATTGTTTAAATATGGCGGATTCAAATTTTTTTAACTAAGGCCTAATTTATAGTAAACGCGTTATCTTCGAGCGTTGCGTTATTTACCGCAGGGTTATTCTAAAATAAAGCCAATAAATTAAGGTATAAATTTATAAATATGGAGCGTTATAATGATGACGCTATATAAAATTTGAAAAACATATGTTGCGATGCGTTGATAAAAAATAAGCGATACAATTATAAAAATAATAGCGAATTCGATAAAAAGGTTATATGATTTTTTTTTATAAATATTATATAAAATAATTATCCCTATTTTAGCTTTATCTTAACTCAGTTTTTAAAACTGAATCAGCTGTAATAAAGCTGAGTTAAATAACGCAACGCTTAAACAAAACAGGTTTACTATAAATGCGATCTAAGTTACAAAAAAAAAAGAATTTGTTTTATAAACTATATTATAGCCTGCCTTTTTTTAAAATTTCCTTAACTTGTAAATATTCGTTTTTTAAAGGTAAGTAAGTAACATATTTTTTTTACATTTTAAATAATATTGCAAAATGAAGAATAAAAAATTAATGCCAAGTGATAAATTGACCAATTTGCATGTTAACTATTTGAAATGCATTTTGGCGTTGGCAACGCAGAGTTGGAACGCTTGATTTGGGCGCACTATTAACCCTGCATTCATAGTTAGCGCTAATTCATGGCAAAGTATGTAAAAATCAGGGTTGGGCAGTATCGCGGATATTTTTATCTATTTTTTAAAATTTTGGAAAGTATCTTGTATCCAGTATCTAAGATACATATTATTTAAAAGTATTTGTATCTTAACCAACTTTGTATTCAAAAAGATACAGATACTTTAAAAAAAATTTATATTGGTTAATTTAAATAGTATTAAAATTTAAAATGATATTGTTTTAAGATTTAAATGAAAAATTTAATCAAAATTTAGATATTTTAAGATAATTTTTGATATATGACGTTGGTCGTCATATAGCAATTTGCTAACAATTAGAACTACCATATTTGAATCGTTTTATATCTGTCTATTTTATAATTACGGAAGAAGAAAATACAATAATATGTTTATCTTCGTCTTCAGATAATTCTTCAACCGAAAATTATAACAATAAATTTAAACTAAGCATACTTAATGACAAATTTTTTGAAGTACTTCAAGATGATCATAATAAAGAAATTCATCGTGACTTTGGTATTGACGAAAAAATTATAGCAACTATTACAGATAACGGCTCTAACTTTAAGAAAGCTTTCAAGGAGCTTGGATATTCTATGGAAGCTGTAGAGAATGACTTTGACATCAATGATGATGAATGTATAGAATTCGAAATCATTGAAAGTATTATTTAATACTTCTTTAAAATTTATTATGATATTATAAATTTAGTTAAAAAAATTTATTCAAATAAAATTATTTATTTATTTATTTAAGGGCTAAAGAAGCCTCAATAACATTGCCTCAACACATTCGTTGTTTGTGCCATACGATAAGTCTAATTACTACAACAGATGTCGAGAGAGCTATTAAGGATTCTCCTAACATTTCTAAAATTCATCATCCTGCAATAGCTAAATGTACTAAGCTATGGAATGCAAATAATAGGCCTAAAACTGCAGAACTTATCAAAGCAGTTTTAGAAAAACAATTAGTTACACCTTGTTGCACTAGATGGAATAGTTTGTATGATAGTCTTCATAGTTTATTAAAATTTAAAGGAGAACTTAGTAAATTATGTCAAAAATTAGAATTACCTAAATTAAGAGATATTGAAATTCAATATTTAGAAGAATATTGCAATATAATGGCCCCATTGGCTATAGCGATTGACAAAATACAGAGGGAAATCAACTGCTATTATGGAGAATCAGCTCCAATTTTAAATGTCGTTAAAAAAATTACAAATTTAATTCAAACCAATCTACAATTTTGCAAACCATTAGCTATTGCCAGAGAAAATTATTTAAATAAAAGATTTAAAAATATATATGATTTTGATAACAATTTTAAAAGTGCATTTTTGGCAACTATTTCTCATCCCTATATTAAAAATCGTTGGATTGATGGTGAAAAAGAAAAAAAATACCTTCAGGATTTGTTATTACATGAAGTTATAATTGTTTTAAATAATATTGAAATTAATACTTCAACAAAATCTTCAATTGATGAAGATGATGATTACTTTTGCCATAAAAGTACCACATCCAATTCTAATAATTCAATAAATGATATTGAAATAGAGGTCCTAAATTATATGAAAGATGACAGGCGGAGTATAAATATGTTAAATAGTTATAAATATATAAAAGAAATATTTATTAAATATAACACAATATTACCCTTCTCAGCCCCCGTTAAAAGATTATTTAGCTTTGCTAATATGGTTAATAGACCAAATCGTCAAAGATTGAACGATAATTCATTTTAAAAATTAATAATATTAAAAAATAATGCTGATATATGATACTGATTTATTATTATTTACTAATTATATAATTATTAAATGGAATATCGCATTATCTTTTATAATAAATTTGTTATTTTCTACAATTTATTTTAAATATTTTTTTATAAATTTATATTATAGATAAGAAAATAAAGCTTTATACATTTTGATTTTGACTATTTAAAGTTTTTTTAAAAAGTATCTTGTATCTTAGATACTTTTTTTTAAAAATACAAGTATCTTGTATCTTATTGAAATTTTTCTAAAGTATCTTGTATCTTAAATACAAAATTTTATAAAGTATCTGTATCCGAATACAATTTTCTGAAAATTTGCCCAACCCTGATAAAAATGCACAGCATACTTTTTATACATCACCCACCAAGAATTCGATTTATATCTAGTTTTTTAATTATGATTTAAATATAAATATAAATTTTATATACAACCCAAATACTCCTAAACCACCTAAAACCAAACCCGATTGATATTTTTAACAGGTACATAACTTTGCTTAAAATGGTAGCAAATTGGTAAATGTGTTTTTTGCCTTTAAAAATATACACAATATTTGGTAATTTTTTTACATTTAAGCAAGATGGTTCATGACTTTTTACATTTAAAAAAAATGTCATTTCAATTTAAATAACAATGCATTTTTTATTGAAAAACACAATGCTAAATACCTACCTAACTAATGGATTAAATGAGTCTATGTTGAATAAAACTTTCTTGAGGAAACCACCTTAAAGTCCCCCGCTAATTTAAGGAAATTCAGAATATGGTAATAATTTTATATAATACCTATCCTTAAATCAAATTCTTGTCGTGCATCAACAGCATTGTTGACTTTTAAATTGAGTTGACCTAAAGTCTCACAAGCCCTTGATATTGATTTAGAAGTTATTTCAGAAAATGTGGCTCTATAAATTTGTAATGCTTGTTTTACAGATTCACATACTTTTACAATTTCACATCCTATATTTTCTCCTTCTCTATCACAATCAGTCCATATAATTAAATACTAAAATGTATTTATGATTATATTTTAATATAAATATTACTTTGCATTTAAGAATTTCATGCTTTAAAGTTTTTTCGATATTTAAACCATCCTGGATTACTTTTTTCTCTATAGGGGCATCAAATAATACCAAGGGTGAACATGAGAACCATTTCTTATATCTATCTAACTAGCATGATCCAAACTAACATTTAATAAAGTATTTTACCTGGAAATACATAATTCATTAAATGTCCTGATACAGATGTCATAACCATTTTGCAATTTTGATTAAATAGTTGATAATCATATTCATATATTTTATTAAATTTAGAAAACCCCTCTCTTTTTTTAAACCTACATACAATTGATATATAGTTAAGTTAATAAATAAACTTTCCATTCGACATATAATAAGCAATGGATTTAGCAGCATCATTTTTTTCAGCTACGTTCAATATGTAAACCATTTTATTTCTATTTCTACTTATACTTATAAATCTTCTGCATGTTATTACAAAATGCAGCATAAAAAAATTTAAAAATCGCTCATATGATGAGAGAGGGATAAATGAATGTACACAACAGTCTGTATACGTGTTTAGCATATAAGAATTTAAGTAATACCCTGCATCAGCGTCTACATGACATGATTTTCTCTAGATCCATGCAAATCCTTCTCAAAGTTAAAAAAATTTTCGCCGCCATTTACACATTATTAATTATGCCTTTTTAATTATAATGATACACCTTTCATAAGTTTTAAAATAATAACTTAGATTAATAATGCTCTTTTATCAGCTATAAAAATATTGTGAATGCAATGAATTATTTTTAGAACATGAATTCAATCAAAAAAAATTCCTCATTTATTTAATAAATGGGGTAGTTTCATATATCACATAGTATAATTCATAACATACATTTATTTATACATACATTTATATCAATAAACAAAATTATATATCGGATATCCTAAATATAATAAATTAGGTAACTAACCTTACAAACATAACACATAAATATATATAATTATATAAAACATAATAAATTCCTAATTACTATATTTCCCCTTCATTAATTGAAAGGCATCCACAACTTAAAGTTTCTCCTTAAAAAATCCTTATCTTTGATCACCATTTACCTTTACAAGGTGTTACTACCTTTTTCAAACTCCATTCTTTTCTCCCTAATTAAAGTTTTGATCTCCAAAAAAGCAGCAATATTAGCTTACATCGTACGAATGATCTCGCCGTAGAGTATCATTATTGTTTCCTTTGTTTAATCTCACCTAGAGTATCAATATCGTTTCTCTTGTTGATTGATCTCACCAAGAGTATCAATATCACTTCCCTTGTTTATTGATCTCACTATCAAGATCTCTCATCGAGTATCCTTGTGGAGGCCTTTGTATAATTGATCTCCATCGGAGTATCGTTATCGAAGCCATTGTGTGCTTTATATCCCACCGTAGTATCAATCTCGATCCCACTGGAGTCGCTACTGATTCTATGGTATATTGGTCGATATTGTACTTGAACGGCGCACGAGGTCACCGTTATTCTAGAACTGGCCAAGAGATCCATCATCCTTGGATGAACCATGAGGTAACTGTTATCTCAGAGCTGGTCATAAGATCATTATCATCCTTGGATGGTTATGATAAACCATATCCCTAAATCGTAATGTCAACATTAGTCCTTTAACCCAAATACAGCTACATCTGGCTAACGGAAACCACATTAGTTTTGAGTAGGTAACGTTATGACATGTTTTGACGTATTACAACTCCGTCAGTTTTTAAGATTTATGAAATTTTTCAGAATGATAAAATAACTCATTCTTAACGATTCTGCTAAGTTTTATAAATTTTGATGGGTTAGAAAATATTTTTTTGATATCAAACGATATTGACCTGGTCTGTCCAGGAACCTATATTTATGTACAAAATTATTTAAAATAAATAAATTTTAATATTTAAAATAAATAAATTTTAAAAATTTGAAGTTATATAATTATAAAAAGATAATAAAGATCCGAAAAAAATATTGAAAATCTTCCCATATGATCAGCTGATCAAAAAAGCATTTTTTTAGATTAAGATCCGAACTAATAATTTTTTTGGAGTGATAAAAAGTGCAATATTGAAATCGGAATATTTATAAATATTGAAGGATAATAAACATCTCCTAAAGGTAAAATAATTTTTTTTGTCTAAGTCGAGTCCTATTTGGATTCAAAATTAATTTTTTAATCAAGGTTCCAATCTGAAAAATGCCTTTTCCACCTGATTCAAAATTTTATTCTATTTTTAGTCACGATTTTGGCTCGAATTTTTATTTTAAGCCCAATCCGGGTTCAAAAATTTTAATTAATATATATACTGCCAATTTTTGATAATATATGAAAAAATCACTAAACAGATAAATTGCAATTAGTAATTTATTTACCAGCACTTGCAAGATAATTAAAATTAGATGTTAATTAATATTAAATTGAACTATTCGTCGCCGACTTTATAACTTTGTTTCACTATCACAACCCGAGTTAGTGATATAAAGTAAATAATATTTATAGATTAAGAAGAGAACAATTGATAAAAAAGCATTTTAATATATTAATTTAAGATAATTATCTCGATATTAATATTGAAATACTCTTTCTGTTCTTAATCATGGTCTGAACTATTACTTTCATCAAAAAATATACAATAAATTATAATAAGTTGATTTTGGGTCGATAGATTTGGTCCATCAGATCTAGTGTTGTTAAATTGCCGGGTCGAGTCGGCTTGGCAGAAAACCCAGTAGGGTTTGAGCCGAAAAAACGACCCTTAACCCGAGCAAACCGATTTAGCCATAGATCAGACCAGACCCAACCTATAAGGTCTCATGAGCCGACACATCTGGTCGGCTTGTTGGGTCGGCCTGCTGGGTCGATTGAAAATTAAACCAGTTTGTTTTAATCCGGGTTCAATGTTTTTGATATTAGAAAGATGTTCAAAAATCTTTGGTTCTAGTAATAAATTGTAACTGTTATTATATCTTATTCCACGAGGAAAATATAAATTGTAAAATTTTTTTAAAACATATCTTAAGCCTAGTTAAATTTTTAGATACTAGAATGATGTTCTAAAACCTTTGGGACTAGTAATAAATGGACACTGCCATTATATTATACTCTACGAGGAAACAATAAATGTGAAAATTAAAAAAAAAATTTAAGCCTAGTTTATGGTTTTTGATATTAGAATGTCCTAAAACTTTTGGGTTAGTAATAAATTGACACTATCATTATATTTTACCCCACGAGGAAAAATTTTTTTAAATTTTGTTTAAGCCTAGTTATAAGTTTTTGTTACTGGAAAGATATCCATTCTGGATCTAGTAATAAATTGGCACTATCATTATATTTTACTCCACGAGGAAAAAAATTTATGATTTTTTTTTAAATGTTGTTTTAAGCCTTGTTAAAAGTTTTTTATTTATGGTAATGTTCTAAAATATCAAGTCTAACAATAAATTGGGACTGCCATTTTATTGTGTTCCTCGAGGAAAGAAGGAAATTTTTTAAAACATTGTTTTAAATAAGTTAAGCGTTTTTGATACTAAAAAGATGTTCTAATACCCTGAGTCTAGTAATAAATTGGCCCTGCCATTATATTTTACTCCAAGAGGAAAAAATATGTTAAAATTTTTTAAGAATATATTTTAAGGGTATTTTAAAGTTTTTCATACTAAAGAGATGTTCTAAAACTTTTGGGTCTAGTAATAAATTGGCACTTACACTATATTTTACCACGAGGGAAAAAATTATGCATTTTTTTAAGATGTTGTTTTAAACCTTTAAATATTATGTATTAGAAAGATGTTCAAGAACCTTTGGGTCTAGTAATGAATGGGCACCACTACAATTATATCTTACTCCACGGGGAAAAAATATATGTTAAAATTTTTTAAAAATTTATTTTAAGCGTAGTTTAAAGTTATTTATACTAGAGAGATGTTCTAAAACTTTTGAATATAGTAATAAATTGGCACTTCCACTATATTTTACCACGAGGAAAAAATTATGAAAATTTTATAAAACTTTGTTTTTATCCTAGTTAATAGTTTTTAATATTGAAAAGATGTTCAAAACTTTTATGTTTATAAATAAATTTATAGTGCCATTTTTCTAAACTCCATGTGTGAAATGTAAAATGATAAAAAAAAACTATTTCTTTATGTTAGAACCCAATAAAAAGTTTCTGATATTATAAAGATTTTGTTAAACCTTTGGAGCATTAATATGGTGTCACTGCCATTATAATTTATTCGACGACGAGAAATTTTATTTTTAGACCTTTGTTTTAAGTTTATTTATATAAATTTGATATTGGAAAGATGTTTTAAAACTTTTGGGTTCATTAAGTAATTTATAATTTCATTACTTTTTAACTTCACGCATAAAAATCTAGAAATAAAATATTATACACTTGTTTTGAGCCATGCAAAAAGTTTTTGATATTAGAAAAATATTCTAAGCCTTAGGATCTCGTAAAATTTTGATACTGCTATTATTTTATTCTTTTTTTTAAACTTGGGTTGAGGGTATAAAATATGAGTAGTATATCATTTAAAACCATTTAGGAGATTGGTAGTTAATAAGAAAAGACGGGACAAGTTCAGCAAGGATCCCATTTTTAAATTTACGGCATTCGGATAAATGAATCTAATTTTAAAATATAATAAATTTCTTTTATATAATTACTATACATAATTTACATCAAATTTGGAAAATTTGAAACACAAGATTATAATTATTTGATTTAAGATCTTGGAAATAATTTTAAAAAATTTTGAACTAATTTTATAATTTATGAGTTTTACAAACATTTATTATATTTACCAGAGACCTGCAGGCCTGGATTTTAAATTTTTTAAATATACCCGGGCCGGGCCGGTAATTTTTTTTAAACATATCCGGGCCGGGCCTAAAAAAAATTTTTTAAATATATCCGGGCCGGGCCGGGCTGAAGATTGTTAAACCCGGCCGGGCCGGGCCGGGCCTTAATATTTTTTATAAAAATTTTTATATTATGAGTTAATGGTTATAAGATTATATTATATTATAGTTATGATTAATATAATATTGGGTGATGGTTAACACTACCTAACAACCCACAGATCGATCTAATTATTAATTTCCTGCAAATTTATTCAAAGTATAAATATATTTTTTTATAATTCATATCTAAATTTTTACAACATAACCAAAACAATCAAATAAAGGAATATCTTAAATAAGCCCCAATATTCAAGTATTATTAATATATATTTTTTATAATTCACATCTAAATTTTTAGAATATATTTTACCAAAACAATCAAATAAAGGATTATCACTTCTTAAAGTTTGTAATTGACTTAATATAAAGCATTTTTTACACAAGTATCATTTTATTTCTCTTTTTCTCTGTCCCAAATTCA